GAGCCTGGGTGACTAAGAGAATGGTGGTTCCCTCAACAGTAATAGAGAAATTAAGAAGAGAGGGTGGTTTTTTGGGGAAAGATAATGAGTTCAGTTTTGGACATGTTGAATTTAAGATGTCTATGAGACATCCAGTTTGAGATGTTCAACAGGAAGTAGGAGATGAAAAACTCAGGTAGAGCAGAGAGGGCTGTATAAATAGACTGGAGAAGCATGAACATAGAGATGATAATCAAATCCATAGAAGCTGATGAGATCATCAACTGAAATGGTATAAAGGGAGAAGAGAAGAGGGCTCAGGACAGAGCTATGAGATCAGGAAGGTTTTGAGTAAGGGCTTGGCAGTGGGATGTATTTTCCTCATTCTATGACTATCTTAGGGAGTTAAGTTCAGAGAAGCTTAGTCACCAGAGGGTATTTTTAAAAATTTAGTTTAGTTTTATTTTGGCCATAGCAGTTAATGTCCACTAAAGAGTAGAAGGTCTATGATGTGCATTGATGGCTTGGGGGCACCCACCTTGTTAGAAGCATAATAATGCCTATTATTTATATAGTGTTTTGAAGTCTACGAAGTGCTCTACATGTGTTACTGCATTTGAACTTTACATTAATTCATAAGGTCAATACTATTGATGTTACTATTCTCATTTTACAGATGAGGAGCCTGAAGCTTGGAGAGGTTAAATGACTTGGCAATGGCCTCATGGCTAGCAAGAGTCAGAGGCAGGATTTGACTCCAAGTTCAACACTCCATTCTCTATGCTATGCTGCCTCCAAGCACTGGTCTTTTAAAATATTGGAGTGTTGAAAGCCTTCCTCTTTGCAAGTAAGATAGTGATATTCTGTAGGTTGCCATAGTATCATAACTTTGCTTTAGGTCCAAGTTTTTAGGGATATTGATGCCCAAAGGTGGTCAGTCATTCTCTTCTGGCAAATGTTCTCAATCCAGTGCCAGCTGGCCTACATTGTAATATGGTGGATAGGACAGATTGTTACATGAGCTGTCATACTTCCGTCAGAAACCCAGCTAAAAACAGCACACATGGCTTAGCTTTTTATTCATTTATTTGAATGTGCAATTCACTTATTTCCACCACAAGTACAACACGAGCAGGTTGCTGGATTCACAGTCTGAGGGATTTCAAGCAGGAAGTGGCAATGACAGAGCTGGATTTTCCCTGTGAGCTGTTTCAGCCATTCACACAAGACTCCAGTTACTGAAGATAGCTTTAAGGAACACGGACAGGAGAGTTAGTTTCTACACAATTACAACACATACCACTGGACACCTTGGACAAGGAGGAAAGCAAGGAAGACTTAGAGTTTCACAAAAGGAGGCTGAAGACATGCTTTATATACTGGGGTTTGTGTTTTTGATCAAAAAGAGAACAAGCTATTATAACACTGATGGACAACATCTGGGCTATATCTGAAACATCACCCTGATGATATGGACACATTAGCTCTATTTTTTTATAAGATACTTGATGAGATGAAATGCAAGTCCAAAGTACTTTTCATCTGACTTTTGCCTGTTGTCTCTCTAATCACCTCCTTTCCCTCCCCATCTTATAATAATACCCCATATTCATAGCATAATTTATACTTTTCAAATTGCTTTCACATGTTCTTTCATTTCATCTTCATCTCACTGCTTTAAGGTAGGCAGGGTGGGTAGTAGCATTTGTCCTCTTCTTATAGATGAGTTCCAGAGAGGTTCTGACTTGCCTGGCCACCCAACAAGCTAATGGCAGAGCTGGAATGAAAACTGTTACCTCCTGTCAGACATCCTTGCTGATGCTGGCTTATGAGCCCAGCATGAAGAAGTAAGGATAGTGTTAATATGTTGACACCCAAGTTGTGCTGAGCTGGGAAGAGGTCCCTGCTAATGCTGCCTAGTTGAAATCTTGTTGGGAAGAGCTACACATGTGGAGAGAACAAGAGAGTGATAGCTCCCTGAATTTTCACCCGCCTGGAGGTGCCTTTGACCTTCAGTTGCTCTAATTAAAAAAAAAAAGCACACCCATGCAAAGTACCTTCTTACTTTGGCTCCTCTGGGGGCTCCCCTGCTGCTGTCCTCAGACCCTGCCACCTTAACGCTTCCGACACTTAGGTGGAATGTCTCATGCATAACCTTTTCCTCTACAGCTAGTAACCAAGCAGGAGACAAAGCCTGCTAATCAGCTGCAAGGGTTGATATAAGTGACACCATTTCTTAGAGTTTTCTGGCAGATTCGAAATAAAGTTCTCAGAGAAGAACTTCCCCATCACTTGGGAAAATCTGGGACCCTGAATCCGGGTGAGCTTGAGCTGCTCTTACAAGCTCTGTTTTGTCAGGTCAAGGCATAATGGATGCACAAACACTGTTAATCATTAGGCTGCAATTATCAGCTTCTCCGGAATATTCAAGTTTAAGACCTTGGGCAGGAGAGGAGACAGGTTGAACTCCTGGTGGTTCCAGTCTGGACACTTGCTCAGTCCTCCAGCAGTAGGTATGGAAACAGTAATCAGTCATATAACCAGCTGGAGCCTGCAGGTCTCTCACCTGACAGCCTGACTTTTTTTTTTTTTTTGGTTATCATCCCATTTTGAAGTAAAGGCCAGTTGATCACCAAAGTCATCCTATTTTTGGTCTGGTATAGGTGGCTTTATATACAGGGGAATTTTTGACTTGTAGAACCACAGGTCTATGGGGCCAAGAGAGGGATTTTGAGATGGAAAGTTCTGCACCCTAATTTGGTCCTTTCCTATTAAGTCATTTGTCTCACCTAGTTCAACTTTGCCTCTGGGCTAAGTTGCAGTTTGGGACAAAGAAAAACCTACTCATGCACAGCCTAATTTCTAACCAACATGAATTCTCCCCAATATCTTAAGATAAAGCCATCAATCTTATTTCCCTTCTCCCTCCTCTTCACCAAGTGAAATCAAGACTGTTTTGGATAAATGTTCAGTCAGTCAGTCAATCACAAACATTTATGAAGTACCTTATGGATTTGAGAAATGCAAAGCTTGCTGGCTGGTGGTAAGTGATCTTGGCACCTCCTGTCTTTAGGTAACTTTTCTCTGCTTCTCTGTTCAGATATAGTGTATAAACAAATCCCTGTAGCCCATGATTCCTCCAAAGGAAGATCTTCACTTAAGTGACACTGACCAGGAGTAAATATTGAGAGAATGAAGAGAGGCGACTAGCCCTTCAGGAATTCTCAGGAGCCCAATGGAATCAGAAGCATGGAACAAAGGAAGTATGGGAATGGGGAGAGAAGTGAGAGGGAGCAGTCTATGAAGCCAGCCAATAGAGCCACTTTAATAGTGCGAGGAGGGTCAAGGGTGGGAGAGGAGACATGAAAGAAATTTTCATCTTTTTCCTCTCTCCTCCCACCAAATTCTGTGGTTTCATGCTCAGTGGCTTCTTGCCTCCATGCATTGACCTGGATGAGTAGAGAATGAAGTTAGAGTAGAATATTTCTTGTGTGCCTTGGATGGTGGGGGAAAGGAGTGGAGAGAGAACCTGGCGGGGAGAAGTCTGGTCTGGGTTCAGTAAGGATAAATCTGGACCAGGTGTGGGGAACCTGAGGCCTCAAGGCCACATGTGTCCTTCTAAGTCCTCAAGTGCAGCCCTTTGACTGAATCCCAACTTCACAGAACAAATCCTCTTAATAAAAAGATTGGTTCTGTAAAACTTGGACTTAGTCAAAAGGCTGTACCCAAGGATCTAGAAGACCACATGTGACCTCAAGGCCGCAGGTTCCCCACCCCTGACTACTAGACTATTCTCTTGGACATCTGAGTCTGATCGGCTTTTACCAACTTATGGAGCCTAAAGGAGGCTTCTTCATGCATGATAGGCAGAACACAGAATACTTTCTCAGTCCTGAGGAGAGAGAATTAAGATTTGTTTCTTTCTTCACAGAATTCAGTGAGGGAGCTATCTATACATTTGGTGTGGTGTCCTATATACAGCAGGGTACTCTATAATATACATAATAATAATAATAATAATAATAATAATAATTTTTTGAGAAGCAATCAGGGTTAAGTGACTTGCCTAGGGTCACACAGCTAGTAAACACCTGAGGTCAATTTTGAATTCAAGTCCAGGGCTGGTGCTTTATCCACTGTGCCACCTAGCTGCCCCTCAATAATTATTTTTTGAATTAAATGAAATTGAATGTAGGATCAGAATTGCTTTTAGCCCAGAGAGGAGAGACGGAGTGGCCTGGGTGTTCAGCCTGGGCTGAGGAGTTCCTTTTCTGATATCGTTTCCTAACATAGGACTGGAGTATGTCCTGTGGGATTGACCAAGACAATTCTGATCCTGAGGGGAGAACTGGAGGCAGGAGGTGAGGCTGGTTCTGTGCAAGAGCCTTTGGTCATGATTATCTCAGGAATCCCTTCCACATGCAGTAACTTAATTGGGTAGTTAAGGATGTCATTCAATGACCCTTTCTAGGCTTTGCCATTTATTCATTCCCTCTTTTGGGCCAGAATTCCAAGCTTCCAGACAGAACCAAGGCTGAGAGAGCAATGCCTTGAGTTTAACAGAGGCCACTTTTCTGGTTTCATGAGCATCCTCTTTCTTACTGATTCCCTGGAACCTGCTGAACTTATTAGCAAACATTCAGCAGAGAGGCATCTGTGAATAATCACTCAGATCTAGGAGCCCATTTATTTGTCCATGTCCCTGGCTCTAAATATCCATTAAGTGGATCACAAAGAAACCCCTTTTTACTGAATACTAATTTCTCCTCATTGAAGTCCTTGTTTGGTGCCTCTGGAAGAAATAATCACATCCCTGGGCTTTCAAAGGAAAGAGGGAGGAAAGGGTGGCAAAGTGAGAGTAGTGGATGCCTTTATGGATTCTGTAATGTAGGTTGTCTCAATTTCAATTCTTAGAAGTTAAAAGAAATGGTGGAACTCCTAGCTGACCCCTTTTCTGAACCCAGGCTAGAAATGGCCCTTCCCACCCACCCCCAATACCAAATAAATGGATAGATGCTAGTTACAAGACACGAAAGACCATTGTATGCATGAATGACATCACTGTGCCAAATATACCACCACACGCACTCAAACTATGGCGGAATGGGGTGGGATAGCATCAGCTTCCACTCCATCCTCCATGACTCTGGAGCCAACTTTTTGGAGCTCTAGTAGAGTGTTTCCCGGGTGACATTGCTGGAAAAGGTGTGGTTGCTGGAGATGCTGTTGGACTTCCTGGAGAACCTCGGTCTTTTTTTCCTTCTTCTCCAGGGAGGGCAGAGGAAAGCCAGGGTGGAAATGAAGATCTGCCGGAAGTTGGCCGACACTAAGTTGTAGAGAATGGGGTTGATGGTGGAGCTGACATAGAAGAGGACGTTGGTGAGCATGTAGAAGTAGTGGTAGAAATCATAGAGGAACCTGGAGAGTAAAGGGGGAGGGAGAAAGAGAATGCCCAGGTACATTACAGGGCTTTGAAACCCAAGCAAAAAAGGGCAGAGACAACCTTTGAGGTCATGGAATTGTACAACCATTGAAATAATAAAATCTGATAATATCAACTAGAAGAGACCTTAGAAACCATGACATTCAATCTCCCTCCTAAGGCCAGAGGCTCTTCTGCAATATCCCTAATGATTATCTAATCCCTACTTGAACACTTTCAGTGACAGGAACTTTATGACCTCATAACGCAGCCATTGCTAGATAGCTCTACTTGGTGAATAGTTCTTCCTTATACTGGAGCAAATTCTTCCTGCAATACCAAGCCAGTGGTGCCATTTTTGTTCTCTAGAGTGACAGAATAAATTGATTCTTATTTAGAATCATAAGGTCATAGATTTTGAGCTGAGAGAGACCTTAGAAGGTCATGTAGACTAACTCTTGCCTTTTACAAATTAGGAAACTGAGGTATAGAGAAGTGATTTCCCCAGTGACACACAACTCTCAAGTATCTAAGATGAAATTTTAACCCAGTTCTTCCTGATTCCAAATCTATCACTCTTTTCACAGAGCCTTACCACCTCTCAAGTTTGAAACAGACCTTAAGATCTCAGGTTTTGAAGGGAGCTTAGAGGCCATCTAGTCCAACTGCTCACCCTATGCAGGAATGCTCTTGACTTCATCCCTGACAGGTGCCCTCTGGATGAGGTCCTTCTTATTACTGAGATGACAAAGGCAGCTTTTAATAATAAACATGTAAGCTTGCAATACTTGCTAACATGTGGATGGCAGATCCCTGCTTTTATCTGTCATGAATTAGAGTCAGGGTTTGATCCTATATATTTTTGAACTATCTGAAGGTAGCTTCCCCTAATTCTTTTCTACGCCACATAGTTTATTTTCTGTGTCTTCTTAGATTTCTCCTAAATTGTTGCAGGCTTTTGGGTGACTGACTGGCTTGTTATGGATGATCTTGAGCCCCAAACCATGACCTCCCTCACATCTCACCTCAATTTCCTAAGGCTGTATCCTAAGCAAAGTTTCCTTTTCTGATTTTCCTGGCAAAGGCTTCATTTGCCGAGTAATAGCTCTTCAGAAGCTTGCTGACAGCTATTGAGGACAGCAAAGCAGGCTTTATGAAGGAGGACAGAGTGACCTGCTTACTGGTCATTTGGAGGGGGGAAGCTATGTCCTTCTTGCCCACTTAGCTGGCTCCCCTCAAGGACTTGAGAGTGGTAATATGGTTGAAAAGTGGGGAAGAATTGCTATTTGTGAACTTTTTGTTCCAAGGGAAGCAAAAAAAGGTAGTTGGCACTTGAAGTTAACTGGCTTAGTTGAAGGCCACAGTGTTCTTTCCTGAAGAGTTTCTTGGCTTGGGGCTGATGACTACAGGGCTGTGGTGTGGGGATTATAATTACCCAATCTGCAAGAAAAACCACTGAGGCAGAGCTCTGAGCCAATGACACTTTATTAAAGGGTCTGTAGTTGCTTCTAATGAAGTGGACCTTGAAATCAGATTTGGTACTTGAACACTCTAAAAGGGCAACAAAAAATACAGAATCCCATTGGTTGATAGGCCTTGTTTCATGGGTCAAAAATGATGCATTAGCTAGAAATGATATCTCAGCAAGGGGGTCTTGGGTTGGGCAAAGTATTGGGGCATCTCAACTGACTAAATGGTTGCAAGATGGTCACCTGCTCATGTTGGACCAGAGAGAGTGGTCTAGACATACAAAAATAAGTTGGGGGACTTTCTTTGTAATTGAGCCACCTCTGCCACCCTGGGCTTGGTCATCATAATAAGGAAAAACAAGAGTGGAGGGCCTTTAGTTAGTTTCCTATGATTAAGCAAGTGAACTTACAATCTGCAGTTCACAGCTCTGGGGTTTGATATGCAGAACCTATATGCACTATCCCTATGGAATCTTATCAAACAGATTAATACTGATTGGAATATAGTAGGCATCCAAATGAATCATTTCTCACAGTGGGATAGGGAACTGTGGTGGCAAGGGGGAGGGATAAGTTCTTGAAGTGAGAGTGGAGAAGAGAGATAGCTATGGTGAAATTGTCAGTTTTTCTTTACTGTTTTCCCCCCAATCCCCTCAAAACCTCTCCCTTTTTTCGTTTCAGGTCCATCCCTGTCTCTTACTTTCCTGCTTCCCTACCCCAATCCAGTAGGAAAATAGATCTGGAAAGACATTAGCACCCAAGTGTGAATTAGTTTAAACTATTACTCCTACCAAGGGTTACTTAAAAAAAATTTGGACTACATGGATAGTCCAATATGTCACTCCATAATATTTACATAAAATTTGTGAAGTACAAAGTGCTTCATATAGGTTATCTCTCCTTGGCATTTTTCTTTATCACACAATTATTTGTGCGCTTCTCTTATTTTCTACCCATCATCAGATCGTCTGCTCCTTCAGGTCAGGGTCTATGCCTCATTATAGGACTGGTCTTGATTATCTTGATCATAGGATGGGTCTGTATTTCTTTCTTTTTTTTTTTATTATTGCCTACTGACTATCATAGGGCCTTAGATGTAGCAGGTATTCAATACATGTTGAAATTATCTCATTTAATCCTCACAACAACCCTATTATAACCACAGGTATTATTTATTCCTACTCTAGATGAGGAAACTGAGGCCCAGAGAGGGGAAAGGACTTGCCTCAGGACCTGTTATTATTGTTTGTCCATTGCTTTTGAGGAGGACCTATGACATCAGGAGGTGATGTCTCAACCTGCATATGAATTGGATTTAAGAGGGGCAGTTTCACAAAGTCACCAGCCTCACTCTTTCTTCCTGAGTCATCCAAGTCTAGTGGCAGGACAAAAGTCAAGACAACTGGCAAGGGCCCAGGCTGCAGTGGGTGACTTTGGCATCTTCCATGTCTGAGCAAGCTCTAAGAGAGCCACAGTACGTGCTCCAGTCATCTTCATGGCCATTGGAACAAATTTGCCACCAGGGAAAGTCCTTACGTGCTTGGGGTAGACACCCTCCTAACTCACTGATGGAGTTGAGGCCTGTCGGTTACCCTCAGTGTGGTTTAGCCTGTCTGCCAAGACAGTTTTGTCAGGGTGTGGCCACTGCGCATGCTATGGCTTCTTGGAGTCACGGGTAAGAGTGAGTAACCAGTTGGACCCAAAGGTGGATGAACAGCCCTGAAAAGGGCTCAGCAAGCCCTCACACCACAAGTGCTAGTCTCCCTTAACACTCCATGCGTCCCAATGTATCTTCTATCAATGAAATCACAGGCCTGGGCCCCATCCTTAGAATGGATCATTCAGAAATTGGAGGTATTTGAGTGAAGTCTGCTGATGACTTGTTGGAAATACTGTTTACAGGATCCTTTTTCAAGTACGGGTTGGACAAGATGGCCTCTGAGGGCATTTTAAATTCTGAAATGCTGTGACATTTATATTGTTCCTGTATTAGGTGGTGTCTTACATGAAGGGAGGGAGGAATCTCATCTAATCTGTATCCTTCCTGATCCCTAGCATGGCTCCACCAGTAGTAGGTGCTTGTAGTGTATTCGGTTGTATCTAAAGATGTAGGTGGTCAGACAAGAATGATTTCTGAGATCCTCTTCCAGCTCTAAAACCTCTGTGTGTGAGGGCTGGTGGGGCAGCTAGGTAGCACAGTGGCTAGAGTGCGGGGCTTGCAGTCAGGAAGACTCATTTTTCTGAGTTCAAATCTGGCCTCAGATACTTTCTAGCTGTGTAACCCTGGGCAAGTCACTTAATCCTGTCTGCTTTGGTTTCCTCATCTGTAAAATGAGCTGGAGACAGAAATGGCAAATCACTCCAGTATCTCTGCCAAGAAAACCCCAAATGGGGTTACAAAGAGTCAGACAAGACTGAAAAACAACAACATTATGCCAGGGCTAGGAAAAGCTGGGAAGAAGCCACTACAGGGTGACAGAAGAATAGTTAACCCTAAAACAATCCTAATTCTGACTTTATAAACTGCCTTGCCAGATTGATCTTCACTTTCAAGGGTTTAAAGTTTCCCCAGGGGATGAGCAGGTTACTGTGATCCTTATGAGAGGAAAAGTGACACAGTGGAAAGGTACTGGATTTGGATTCAGATGCTCTGGGTTCAAATTCTTTTTTTTTTTTTAAAGGAATTGGAGTTAAGTGACTTGCCCAGGGTCACACAGCTAGTGAGTGTCAAATGGTTTTTCTGAGGCTGGATTTGAACTCAGGTCCCTCCTGACTTCAGGGCTGGTGCTCTATCCACTGCACCACCTAGCTGCCCCCCTGGGTTCAAATTCTGCCTCTGGCACATGTACCTGTGTGACTTGACACAAGTCATTTTATCTTTTGGGGAGTTATTTTCTTCACTTATAAAATGAGGGAGTTGAACTTAGTGGCCTCTTAGATCCCTTCCAGCTTTAAATCTATGATCCTGTGACTTGGTACAGGGAGGAGAAGATACAATGAGGAGCCCTGGGTTTCCTTCCTCAAAACTGGTGAGCAGGGAGGGAAAGTTCTAAGGGGTTTAGCTTGTGGAGAAACACACATACTACTATTTCCTATTGGGAAGGGAAGTGAAGACCATCAAAGGCACCTTAATTTGCACAATAGACGTTACTAAAAAGGGTCTATACCCATCACACTTTTGTGAATGAAATCCTACCTAAATTAGGTTAGAGAAGCTTGCTTTGTGAAGGACTCCTAATGCTTCTTATGAAAAAAGAGTGAACTATTAGAGCTGGAGGACCATCTGGTTCAACATCCTTATTTGACAAAGGAGGAAACTGAGGCCCAGAGATGAAAAAGCAACTTGTCCAATGCCATACAGAGCGAGGGTTACAGCTCAGGTCTCCTGACTTGTGGTATGCCAGTTTTCTTCCATGGGTGATGATGCTGATGAAGATGATGTACATGAACACAGTACTTAGCACAGTGGCTGGCACAGAACAGGCTCTGAATAAATATTGTTGACTTGACTTGACATATAATTTTAAGGCTCACAAAGCCTTTTTGTCACAATTCTTTGGATAGTCAGTGCATGCACTATTATAATAACTGTTTTATGTATGAAGAAAACAAAGCTCAGAGAGGTTAAGAGAGCTACCCAAGGTCATACGGGTAGTTGGAGCTGAGATTAAAAGGCAGATTTTCATACACCAAATCCAGTCCTCTTTTCATTGTACCACAAAGTGTCAGAGTCTGAGACCAAATTCAGGTTTCTGGAATTGAAGGCTAATATACTTTCCAACACATTGAAGAAAGTGCAGGCTTTGTGATCCCAAGGTACAAGACAGGCTGGTGGGAGGGGTGGGGAAGTGGAATTGTTTTTGTTCAGTTGTTTCAGTTGTGTCTGACTCTTTGTAATCCTATTTGGGGTTTTCTTGGCAAAGATACTGGAGTGGTTTGCCATTTCCTCCTCCAGTTCATTTTACAGATGAGGAAACTGACTCAAACAGGGTTAAGTGACTTACAAGAGTCACACAGCTAGTAAGGGTCTGAGGCCAGATTTGAATTCAGGAAGATGAGTCTTTCTGGCTCCAGGCTTGGCACCCTATGCACTCTACGACCTAGCTGCCCCCAGGAGGTGGAGAGGTAGCATCAAATGAAGACTGAGCTGCTAACTGTACAACTTTTCCATCAGCCTTGGATGGAGCTGAATTGCATACCCTTGTGGAGGTCATTGAGAGGCCTGCCAGCATCATTGAAGGGTAGAGCCAACGTCCCTGATTTGGGACCTTGATTAGCACAGGGGCTTAGGTTTTGTGTTATGGGGAGTAACTTTTTCCTGAAGGTACTTAATTCCCTAGGTACCCTTACACCAGCTTTTATTTAACGTGGAGCAGATACTCACGGGGACCAGTGATCAGATGGGATATAGCAGAACATCAGGCGACGAACGTGGTAGGGCAGCCAGCAGACTACAAAGGCGATGACCACTGCACCTGGAATGAGAGAGAAACACCATGGATTTAGTGCCCTACAGTCATGGCGTGTCAGAGGGGAAAGGGGCCTCACAGACCACCTAGTTTAACCTTTTAATTTACAAACAAAGAAAATGAGGTCCAAAGAGAGGAAGGGACACCAAGGTCACACTATTAGCAAATGCTTTTGTGTGCTTCTGGAAACCAGAAGTTAACGTCTGTTCTAATCAGTTCTTAGATCAAATCTCAGGGTTACTCACTCAAAGCATGTGTGTGTGTTTTTGTGTATGTGTATATATGTGTATGTATTTTAGCCACTTCAACTCAGCACAACACATTTCCTGAGTGCCTACTTTATTATTTTTTTTATTTTTTTATTTTTTTGTTTAGGCCATCGGGTTAAGTGACTTGCCCAGGGTCACACAGCTAGTAGGTGTTAAGTGTCTGAGACTGGATTTGAACACAGGTCCTCCTGACTCCAAGGCCAGAGCTCTTTTCACTGCACCACCTAGCTGTCCCTAAAAGTAAGACTTTAATTGTCATATTTTACTTCAATTAAATTTTTTAAAAAACTATTTGAACTCAAGGCATTTTTTTTACAACAGACTTCAATACTGGGACTTGATTGGATTTAAATATTAATTTTTTTTCAGCCAAAGACAAGGTTTATTAGAATATTGGTCATATTGAGCAGACTCTTAAGGAGTCTGAACATTAGTAAGCTATTGGCTAGATTATAAGAATCTAAGCCCTGAGTGCCTACTTTATGAAAGATCCTGTGCTAGGCACTGTGAAGGATGCAAAGATGAAAAAGACAAATCGCTGATAACAGTATGCTTGAAATCTGGTGGGTAGGCTCATAGGTGTGCATTAGTAATTATGAACAAGGCTGAAAAGGGATGAGGATGGTAAGAAAGGTTTGGACTTGGAGGATGGGCACCATTGGGTGATGAGAAAAGAAAGAGAACATTGTTTTCATTCTCAGATCAATTTTGGGAAAGAAGTTCCTAGGGTATTCCTTGTCCCCTGGCACTTCAATTATTTAAAGGAATGAAATTAATTTTGTAGTCTCATAAAGGGGAGGCAAGACTTGGTATGTGTTTAGTTCTGAAGTAATAAAGCCTTTGAGGTCTAATTATTTGATCTAAAGCTTGCCTTACTTAAGCCATGGCAACTAAATATATTATAAACCTGGATCTCCAAGAGCCCATCTCCCCTGGAGAAGCCCAAGCCTTCTCTTGCCCACAGAGGTGCCCTAGTGGTAGCAGCCAGCAGAACCTTGGAGATTCATTCAGTCAGGGCAAAGGAGCTCTCCAGAGGCAGGTGGGACGACTTCTTGGAGAGGACCCTGATCTCCAAATAGCCTCATTTTCCTGAGAGCCTTGGTCCTAGATCTAGAACGTAGATCATCCTCCTTGGGGAAAAGGTCCTCTTCAGCTCCTGCCAGCTATGTCATGTTAAACTCAAATCTGGCCTACCGCAGAGCTACAGTGAGAAAACTGCACTGAAGACTCAGGCTTCCATTGATTTTTCTGCTTCTTATTAGCCATGTGACCTTGGGCATACAAGCCATCTCTCCTGCTGCCTCCATTTTCTCATCTATTACTGTTGTTGTTCAGCCTTTGTTTTTGAAGGAGACCAGTGGCATCATGAGTGATGTCTTGACCTGTTTGTTAATTGGATTTAAGTGAGGCAGAGTTGCATGAAGTCATCAGCTTCACTCTCTCTTTTTTTTCCTGCTTTTTGGTGAGGCAATTGGGGTTAAGTGAGTTGCCTAGGGTCACACAGCTACTAAGTGTCAAGTGTCTGAGGCTGGATTTGAACTCAGGTCCTCCTGACTCCAAGGCCAGAGCTCTATCCACTGTGCCACCTAACTGTCCCACCACTTTCTTTTCCCAAGTTATCAAAGTCCAGTGGCAGGACGAAAGTCAAGACAATTGGTGATGGCCTGGGTTGCAATGGATGACCTTGGCATCTTTGATGTCTGATCAAGCTCTAAGCATGCCATGGTGCTTGTTTCAGCTGCCTTCCTGGCCTTTGGAACAAAATTTTCTCATCTGCCTATTCTGCTGTGGGAATCTTCACATACTTGTGGTAGACATCCTCCTAACTCACTAATGAGAAGGTAAAGCTGTTCAACCAGATGACTTTCATGTTCTCTCCTAGGTCTAAGATTCTGGGGAATCTCAGAAGAAGAGTGGGTTTCCAGGGAGAATGAATTTCTTTGTTCTTTCTGTGTTGCCCTTAGATCTTGCCTATCATGTTATTAAGGCTTGTCAAAAAGAGGGGGGGGAAACCCAAGCAAAATTCAAGGACGTGAAGTGCAAATACTCTGTGACTCTCTGGAATCTGCACAGAAAGTAGGTCTTAGGTTTTTTGTAGAAAGGGAGCACAGATTGGAAGGAATGCTCAGTGTGGAATGTGAACCTCACTGGGCAACACAAAAACAGAACAAGTTACTGGTGCTGTTTGGGCCAGGGGGTTAAGGGTAATTATGAGGTGCAGTAGCATCTTTGGAAAGAATAAAGTCTCAAGCCTGAGTTTAGGGGCTGGACATGGCAAGAGAGGGAACAGCAGGAGGTGCTGCTGACATTTTAAAAATAATCAAGAATGCTGCTAAATGGACTGAAGAAATTTCTTAAATGTCAGTTCCTCCTTGAAGGGCAGTCGATGTTGCATGCTAAATGATTTGACCCCAGGAAGGCATATTCAAATCATTTTGCACCGAAAAGTTGGCTAACCAGTGAGTGAGTGAGTGTGTGTGTGCGTGTGTGTGTATAAAATGAATGAACAGACTGGAAATAATGGTTGCACCGTCCAAATCTGACGTTGTATGGAGAGAAGGGAGGCCAAATATGGCCAAGAAGATTATAATCTGGTGGGATAAATACTGACTAGGAGTCCAGGAGACTCCAAGTTCTACATATTTTTCTGCTGTCACCTAGCTATTTGACCTTAGGCAAATCACTTACCCTTTCTGAGGCTTACATCTTCCATCTGTCAATGCAAAGAGCCCTCTTTTGATTCTCTGATGCCCCTTTATTCTACCAACTTTCTGAATCCCAGAATCTCAAAGTTGGAGGAGATACTTCAAAAGTCGTCTAGTCCAATTTCTGCTGGGATCTAGGACCTCCTGTCTTTTTGTGAGCTCATAAATTCTTTCCCCCCCCCACACTTTAAAGTTTAATCCACATTATTAACATTTGCTCCATCACTTTAAGTGTAGGCAATCAAAAAAATAATAAATCAAGCCCTCATTTGTAATGTTTGCTGATTTTTTTTTAATTTTTAAAAATTCATTTATTTATTTATTTTTACTTTTCAACATTCACTTCCACAAGATTTTGAGTTTCAGATTTTCTCCCCATCTTATCCCTCCCCCACTTCAAGATGGTGTGCATTCTGAATACCCCTTCTCCTAATCTTCCCTCCCTTCTATTTCCGCCCCATTATCTCCTTATCCCCTTCCCTTTCTATTTTCCTATAGGGCAGGATGGATTTCTATACCCCATTGCCTGTATATCTTATTTCCCAGTTGCATGTGAAAACAATTTTAAACATTTGTTTTTAAAACTTCGGGTTCCAAATTTTCTCCTTCCCTCCCTCTCCACCCAACCTCACTGAGAAGGCAAGCAACTTGATACAGGTTATACATGTGTAGTCATGCGAAACACTTCTATAGTAGTCCTGTTGTGAAAAACTAAGTATATTTCCCTTCATCCTATCCCGCTCCCCATTTATTCTATTCTGTCTTTTGACCCTGTCCCTCCTCAGAAGTGTTTGCTTGACCCTGTCCCTCCTCAGAAGTGTTTGCTTCTGATTACTCTTTCCCCGATCTGCCCTCCCCTCTATCAACCCTCTGCTCTCTTATTCCCTTCTCCCCTATTTTCCTGTAGGGTAAGATAGATTTCCATACCCAACTGTGAGCTCATAAATTCTTTTGGGAGTGCTTGAGCAATTGCTACACACAAGGGAACTCTGAAGTAATGGAAACTCATGAGCGGAGGAAATGATGGGGCTGGAATGTATACCATTCTATGGTTCTATGCTTTCCTGTACCTGTGCTGCTTCGCTACCTCAGTTCTATAGGGATCTTTATTCTTTTTATTTCTGAGCAGTAACTTATTCTAGACTCACTACCTCTAGGAAGACCCCTCTGATTCTTCTTACCTTACTGAGGCATAATGTTGTTTCTATGTTTGGGGATAGGTAGTGGGGAGTCAGGGTGGGACTCAATCTAGAGCCCAGGCCTCTGATTTCTTCATTTGGTTATGCTCTCTATGAAGCTGAGAAAACAGGATGGCTCAGACTAAAAGGGAAAGGGCCCTTTGGGTCTGCCTTAATAGTGTCACATAGAGCTGATGTACTTAGCAGAGAACTGAAGAAGGGACAGTCTGAGGAAATGTACCTATGCACCTACTTTGTGCAACACCATTATGTGAAAATATGTATGGATTTAATCAAGACTCTTCATTTTACAAAAAGAATCTTCTTTTCACACCAAAAATGTTCAGTTGAAGATGACTTTAAATAGCAGAACTCCTGTCATCCATTTAAAATTGGCATCAATTTACACACCACTTATTTTTTAGAATTCATGTACAATGTTTAGCATCTCCCAAGACCACAGATTCTCAGTGATGGAAAGAAACTTGGGGGATCTGAGAGGTTCAATCTGTACCTCAATGGGAATTTGCCTCTGCAATATGGTTATTTAACCCCTATTTGACGTTGATGGTGATAGGAAATGCACTACTTCCCAAGAAATCCATTACTTCCTAAGATAGATCATCTTTTGCATAGTTTGATTAAAAAAATTTTCATTACATGAAGGCTGTCTGCCTCTCTGCAACTTCTACCCATTGCTTTCAGTTCTCTGTGCTTTGGATCAAATGGAATATCTTAACTCTCTTCCAAATTATACCCCTTTGAGTACATGTCCTCCTAAGTTTTCTCTTCTACAGGTCAAATACTCCCATTTCTTTCAGCTGTTCCTTGTATGGCATGATCTCTATTTTTTC